AACCAAAGATCTTACATACCAAGACACTCAGCTTGTGAAATCCTCGTGTGAAATCGTCCTCGTGTGAAATCGCAGCTCAGCAGCGCCATTTTTTGGTTGTACCACAGAACTAAAAGACGTACTAGATATGTGAGCAGCAGCGCTGGACTACTCACTAGGCACGTGAAGTTTGTGCCTAGGGACCCTGGGTTTCGGAGGCTCTGAAATTGAAAAAATAAAGTAATTTTACCGTTGCTACTAAATATCACAATTTTTAAATAATTGTATAGCTACTATTAAACTTTATTAGTTCATGATGTCGGAGAATTATGTAGAAGGTTCCTAATATCGGTTTACTTAGTTACTTAGCTGATAAAAAATTCCAATGGTCAAAATGCTCAAAAATAGTTTTCTTACTACAGATTTTCAAAATGCACGATGCACAAGATTTTGATTATTACGTCGCTAACGAACGTCCCCTTCCGCAGTTGCAAATCACTTGCTGCCTATGTTTCAATCGCAACTCATTCTGTAATCTTTTCCCGTTCTTCACCTCAACTTCGACCGCAATTTTTTTTTAACATTTTACCAATCTTGCAGTAAAGGTTGAGATTGCGGAAAGAATTATTTAATGTTGGTGGTTGTTGCAATTGCAGAATAGGTTGTGGATTAAACTGTGGTTGAATTTTTGCTCACAAAATGGGTGGAGGAATGATTTTCTGACGATATTGCAGCTGCGGAATAGGTTGCGGTAGAAATGTCTGTTGAGGAATGAATCACACAAATGTAGTCAAAAATGCTATCGAATTAACGGGTCGAGAAATTACAGGAATGTTTCGAAGAGTAGTCTGTCTGGATAAGTCGAGACCCATCTCTCACCACCCGGCCTCCCTATTGAGATACTGGGCAAACCATAATGGGTTTACTAAAAATGGCCTTCTTAGTGGCCATAGGACTGAAAGACAAAAACAAATTGCCAACGTTGACTAAGATTAATGGAAATATTAGCTAACCCATCACTATATGATGAATTCAAGTGCAAAGCGTAACTGGAGCATAAAGATATATAAATCAAAAATAAAGAAAAACTAGTTGGTATAATTTTACTATTTAGGGAATATATTAATGTTTTTAATATCTTTTTTATTTCCTGGTTTTATAGGAAAATAAATATATTTACAACTATTTATAGATCAAATTTTTAATCTAGTTCATTAACTTATTGTAGTTATGAATATATACGTTACGAAATGAACTAAACGTTCTTATTTTGCTAATATTATTAAAGTACTAAAATATATTCAAATTCAAATCACAACTTAATTTTAAATCCAGTTATTTATATTCCAAAAAGGTTTCTTCTTTGCATCAGTACTTGCTGTTGCCAGATTGGTATTTAAATTTAACAATTTTATTTTTACATTATAATATTTCAAACTGATGTCTTTTATAACTGAAATATTTAGAAATATTTTTAAGTCTATGTATAAAACGATTAAGTTCACTATATTTACCAAATTATATAGAGTTTTATGAATAATATACAGTAAACGACGAGGGAATTATCAATTAATAATAACAGTTGTTATTATTCTTTTTATATATCTATCTATGTATGTACTGTACAAGATGATAAAAAGTCTCTCCTCGCCTAATTATTTCAAAAACTAATAGGGAAATCACTGTAAACTTTTTGCCGATAAGTCGGACATTCGCTAAATAATGGTGCAAATTTCTGTCCCCTCCAGTAGTTTTGTTAGAGAGTGCTATTGCAATCTCAGCCCCTAATGAAAATAGAGCAACGCTGTCACTTATAAAGTTGTAGCACATGTAGCAAATTATAAAGTTTATTGCCTTTCGAAATATCAAGTGTGATACCCGGAGCAGGCTGTCAAATATAGTAGGTAAATGCTTCACTGAAAACACAAAAGGGGTAGCAGTGCACCACTGCTATTCCTTTTGTGCTACCCTTACTGCATTGCATAACAAGAATGCAATACAGGAATCTTTGAATATGCGGTTAGTTTTAGGTTAGTTGTGATATTCACTTTGACTACTAGTCCGTCCTGCCGAGTGGTCAAAGTAACAGCCTGGAGAACATGGGATCAAATCCAGATAGGTCGAAAAATCCCTAGGAATTTTTCATGTGGTAGTCTGTTTGGATATGTTCGCTCCTTTCCTCACGCTCGGCTTCCCCATTGTGGGCTTGCTATAAAGAGGCTCTCTTAGTGTGCCACAGGGCAGAAAGAGTTAAAAAGAAAGAGATGGATATGCAAATGATCCGATTGAATAGAAGATATCAAACGTTGTTAAATGAATTTTTAGCACTGACTTAATCATCATATCAATACAAATCTTATACATATATAATTTAACTATGTAACGAATCATTTAATTCTACCTTATTTTATTATTCAAATAAATATGTTATTTTTTTTAATAATAAAGCACGATGGCCGGATAGCCGCGCGGTCAAGGTGGTATCCTACCGCTCTGGGGGACCTGGGATCGAATCCAAACGGGTCGAATAATACCCAGAAATTTTTCGGGGGTGGTCCATTCGGATATGTCAGGCCCCGTCCGTCCCATTGTGGGCCTGGCCGTAATGGGCTTGCAAAAAAGAGGCCCTCTTAGTGCCCACAGGGCGGAAAGAGTTAAAAAATAATAATAATAAAGCATGTACCGTATATCTATATAAGTGGTATAATCAAAATCAAACAAACTTTTAATTATATTACAAGTATCTACAAAACATCATCCTCTGCAGCTATATACCTCTGCCATAAAATTAGTCATGTGAAGTCTGGAGAAATTCTCGAGGCCAAAATAGTGTCTAAGTATTGTCTTGATCTTGGAAGATAAAAATCTGTCTCAGAAAGTGAAAGCTTTGGAAAAATTTTAAATAATGAAATTATTACTATATCGGTATTTAAAATTATTTCTCATACATTGGAGCAATACTAAAAGTATTCTGGAAACGGTGATATAGAAGTAAGTTCTGGAGCGTGACATGAATGTTTTCTTACGTACTCAGCACGCCTGAGTACGTAAGAAAACATTCTTATGTATTTTGCGTTCCAGGAACCTCAGCTTCTGTCAAGAGAATTTTTTTAAAGTAGTTTGATTATGCTGTCTCGGCGTGTCAGAGCAATAGATTCATTATTAGAATTATTGGTTTTATAAAATGTAAAAAATAACTTTGAATGTTCTTTCCGCATGTTTGTAACTAGAATGCAAATGCATTATAATGCTAATAACATTAAAGAATTTGAGGTTTATTGTATTATTTGTGATTCCATTTTGTTGTTTTAATAATTAATGTTTGTAAATAATTGTCCAAACAAAAACATCTGAGACCTTAAAAAAAGAAAGTTAAAGAAAATTTTGAAATTTTGCACACTACCTAAGAAAACAATTACTTTTCGAACGAGAAGTTCGAATTACTTTAGACGTTTGGGGCGGAGAAATCGATTACAACTCTGATTCCTGATTATATAGTCAGTCATTGACTTTATTACTTACTGCTGTGATTCAACATATCAAGTTTCTCGAATTTAGTTTTGGTTTTAGATCTGAAATGTCTTGGTAACGAGCAATTATTTATTGTGACATCGTTATAATGCCAACTGCAATTTTTTGTCACAATGCTCTCAATTTAAGCAGTCTTGCCCTTGTACTGTACATCATACTTTTCCTGTTAACAATGAAGTCTTGCCGGTCATCTATCTAACTCCTTTCAGAAGAAAATATTTTAATTAAAATAATATAACTTCCGGTCCAAACTGGAAGTTTGTATGCAGTAGCGTAGCGTAGTGGGGGCGGCAAAATTTCACAATAAATAATAATATCTTGTAAGAATTTGAACCATTTTATTTTATATTTTCGTCCACCTACGACTCGGACCGATTGAAATGAGCACGGAATAGTGTTACTATCCATCCGGATAGTCCGGGAATCGACTCGCCGTCCTGGGATATCTTGCGCAACCTGTTGCCTTTTTTTTTTTTTACTTGTACGGTTCGTATTCATACACATCTCCAATATTCAATAGAGCTAGGTCACTTGCGTTACTCCTATCCAAGTCTCCGTAGTCGCTAACTGTAACTGATTTAGAACCGGCATGCACTGCACATTATTCTTCGCATTGCAAAATGACATGCATGCGTCAGGAACTTCTATTCGAACAAACCTCACCTGCCGTCCGGGTCAGCGATTTTAAAAAGATGGCAACACTAGCACGGAATTTTTCATTACTTATTCTGTGACGAAACTGAATTTTAGTCTTTTAAATTGAGATACCTAAATAAGGGGGCGGCGAAATTTTCCTCCGTCCCGGGCGGCTGACACCCACGCTACGCCACTGTTTGTATGTAGTTAATTGGGACTTCTTTGTCCCTAAGTTTTCCATATCAGGTCTTGACTTTTTTCTATGTTCTCGAGATTAAGGAAGAACGTATCTCTCCTTTTTTTTTAATTTAGAGAACATAGATAGATGCAGACCTATATATTTGAAAATAATAAAAGACTTTGTCTCGTCTTTGGTCGAATCCCAGGAATTTTTCGATCCGTACAGATTCGATCCAAGCCCCGCAGAGCAGTAAGCTACCATGTTAGCCACTCGGCCAAGAAGCGTGGAGTGCCGCCTCTATTTACTCCACGGTGCTTCCAGTAACAGATGTGTTTCAATTTCCATATCTTTCTTGTTTCTTCAGACAGAAGGGAATGATTATGCTGAAATGTTTATACATTAATGGAAAAACTTATTTTAAATTCTTTATTATAAAAAAAATATTACAAACGAATTACAGTATTTTAAATTAAATTGAAATAAAACACTTTTTGATGCTTGTTAAACTTAAATTATTGTTTTTACTTAATAGTAATTTTATTATAAATAAATGTTTTAACTAGAATTTAAATGTATACAGTATTTATATATAAATATCTATAAAAATTAATTGTGACATATGGTATCTCCATATGAACAATGAGGAGGAGGAGGAGAAGAAGAATTGTGACATATTTTTCTCACCAGAGTTACCAAAGTCATCCACATGATTACAGTTGGATTGTGACAGAGTAATAATACGGGTGTAATTTCTGTTTTAGAACTCAGGTAAAATATCTTTAAAATACTTTTATTTAATTTAAGATCTTTCTATCATTTAAGAAAAAGCCTAGAGGTGATTTTCTTATAAGTAACTTGATATTTATATTAAAACAAAATTGATAATTGGTCAATATACTTACATACACATGAAGCTGACAGAATGGTTGAAGTATCCATTAGATAATATGTGTGTGATAGTTGTTTAATATAAGCTATTACCAAATATTCCATATAGAATTCTAACATGAAAAGTTGACGAGCTTCATGATAAAATATGGAATTATAATATACACTATATTATATACAGTATTTCACCAGGATATTGTAAAAATGAAATCTTTCTAAATCATAAGATCTTATCTTAATTATCACGTGTTAATTAAAACAAAGTTATGCAATTTTTATGTGAAATGATTTGAAATTAAATAAATTACTTTAAACTTCAATTTCTAAATTAAAACTATTTAATATGAAAATTAAACACAATAATTTGAATTGATAATCTTTCTATATTAAAAAAGCAAAATTTTATATAAACATNATTGACTATATTATTGTTGAATGCTTTACATTTTATCAGGGCTTGAAAAGGTGAATGTTGGGTAAATTTGCAATTGTCCTTTAGTAGGATATAGAAACGGTCAGACACTTGTCTGTAAATCGGAATGCGTTCACTTTAGATTTTCAAGCCCTGGATGCAGTTATCAGATGTAATATATATAAATTATATATATATATATATATATTATATTATATCATATATATAGAATTATTAAATCTGTAAATACAGTGAAGAAAAAGGTTTATTTATGTGCCGCTAAATAACATAAGAAAGAACATACATCCACATACAGATCTCAAGAAAAAGCCAAAAAGACACATAATTTGAGGTTTTACCAGAAATTGTGAGCTCTCTCTCCGTGAAAAATAGTCTCATTCGAGGATTCAATTTTGTATAACCTAGTATTTGTTCATTAAATTTTTGTTTTATTGTTAAAGAAATGTCTCTTATGTCGTCTGAATTAAACGTATTTATCATCTCCTTCACGACTCGATACGCGTGTTAATCTGTGTAGAATAAGTTTGATTAACTGGTATCATCATCCCGACGTGGATTTGAATCTCAAGATTTGGATCCGTTTTAAAAGCCCTTAAGGCCATTCTTCAACTAGAGATCAGCTCTCTCGATCCGAAACCTCGAGAACAGATTTCACTTAATCTGTGCCGATTAAGTGTCATATCAATTCTAAGAATTGTACCCCTGGCTAACTCACACTAATAACTAGACAGGTTTTGCAATCAGTCAAGACTTCAACAATATAAGGAAAAAATTACTAAGCAAAGGAAGTAAGGAAACAAAAAGAGGATGACAACATCCTCAAAAATTTCAGATCTATATGACTGCCAAGCCTAGAAGTTAAGAGAGCAGAATTTAATGAAAGAAGGGATGAAAAATTTTCCAAGAAGCTTGTAGAAAAAAGTCTAACCAAGACAGAATTAGCAAATGCAATTTTGAAAAGTGCCATAGACACTATGCCTAAGCAGAAAAATCTATTGCAGAAATAGTTGGTGGAAACTTATCAGAGAAAGAAAACTGATTAAATAAATTGTACTAAAATTTTTTCAACTTTTTCATGTCATTACAAATAACAAATTACATGAATAAAGGTTTAGCCAGAATAATTTTTTATTTTACATGATACAATTTATTTAATCAGTTAGTTTTCATTGTAATATAAATGTGATATAAATAAAATATGTGAATAAAGGTTTATTTACCTTTATTCACATATTTTGTTATTTGTAATGACATGAAAAGTTGAAAAAAATTTCAGTTATGAAAAAAAAATGCATGTGAGGGAAAAAATGTGAAAATTTACATTTTAATACTTACAGGACTTAAATTTATATTCAAAAAATTAAATTAACAACTGCTACTTTACAACTGGTTAAAACTAGAAATTAATACACACTGCAATAACCAAAAAACCAATGACAAGGTGCAAATGTTTTTGTTTAACACCACAAAATGTTTACCCTTTGTTTATAATTTTGTCACTGATTTGTTAGGTTATTGCAGTGTTTACAAAAAATTAAAGTTTAGTAAAATTTAGTAAGCTTTATGAAGTAGTGAATGAAATATCATGTCAGAATATGTGTTATTTTTTCTAGTGATTGGTCAAGATGATTTTATTCTTTCATTATAAATTATAGTTCTATGTTTATATCAGGACTGTGTAGTCAATACACAAAAGCCCTGACCCTGACTCTGATTCCTTTATTTATATTATCAATTTAGGAAATAAATAATAAATGTACTATTTATATAATTTTTATATCAGTTGAAAGCATACAACATATAAGGCATTTCATCACTGCCACCATGAATCATCAGAACTTTTACTTTCTAGAATCATAATCTATTAAAGTTTGAGTCTAAAAGCTATGTCATTATGGCTGTTTTAACTTATTTATTAAGGAAATTACAAAGATTCAGTAACATTCAGTAATCTTAAAGAAAAGACAAAAGTTAGAAAATAAATTAGGTTATATTTTTATTAAAATGCTATGAAATAGTAGAATATAATAAAAAGAAACTAAACATTTTTCTCTATCAATTCTCTTCCTTTTCAAGATTAAAGTATTGTTTGAATATAAAATATAACTTGGAAAAAATAGATTAATTAATTTAATCACGTTATAAAATTTCTTATTTGTGAAATAAGAAATTTTAACATATATGAATTACATTACAATTTAAATTTGTTAGGAATTGGCCCAATTTTACTAACTCCAGTAACTCAAGAATTGCAACATTGCTTTCATCTTTGAAACCATAATCTTGGTTTATACACTAGTCTCCAAGAATACCTTGCTATATCATTGCTATTAAATATTTTATTATAGAATTTGTTTTTTCAATGTTTATGAATATTTTAGTAATTTAGAATTTTTAATTGATGCTGTTTGTTATAAAAAAAATTTAATAAAATGCAAAGTCATCAATTCTGATTTACAAAATCTAAACATATCAAATACAGTTTAAACTTGATTTTTCTGTATATAGAATATAGAGCTTTATGAGTGTATTTACAAAAGAAACATTTTTATTTTTTTAATTTATAAGTTTTGAGATGTTCAAATGCACATATTTATTTTATACCATAGGAACAGATTAAAATATTAGCACAGTTGGTCTTTGTTGTCTCTTCTCTGCTTAAATATATAAAATTGCTAAAATTTACTCTGGCATATATTGTGATATATTTTAGAATTATATAATTTGTATAACAACAAAAGTTGTTAAATAAATATTTTCCTCAATTAAGAAAATTGAATATATTATGTAAAATTTTAGTGATGTATCTATTTTCAAAATAAAACTAAAATTATTGTTATTATGCACATGTCTTTTTTCATTAATAAAGAAGAAGTGAAAATAGTGAAGGAAATAAAATTTTTAGGAGTTACATTCACATCTAATCTCTCGTTTGAAAAAAACTATAAAAATTCACTAAATAAAGCAAAAATTGCAATAAATAATTTAATTGGTATATTCTGCAAGGCAAAAATAAAGAACTTATGTGCACATTTTCAACTTTTTAATTCGATTGTGATGAACTCAATGGGATATGCTGCCCCAGTTTGGAGCATGGAAAAATTTAATGACTTTGAAAAAATACAAAATATATTTATACGTAAGATATTCCAGCTAGAATATAATATCCCGGGTAGCGCTTTAAGATTAGAAACAAATAGATTCAGAATTAATACTATACTAATAAAAAGATACAAGGTCTGTTCAAAAAGTATCGGACCTTATTTTTTTCCGCGTAAACCAATGCTGCGAGAGAGTCCTCCTTCGGTGGAGTTGTGGAGGGGACAGTCATGCACAGCCCTGAATTTTTTCCCGCCTGCAGAAAGCGTCAGTCGTTGGCAATCGGCGTATGAGTGAGGTCATGTAGTGCGCTCTTGTCGGATTTCACTAAGCTGGAAAATGACTGAACAACGTGAGCAGCGATATTACATCAAATTTTGCCAAAAACCTTGGCGATACCCGAGTGTAAACCATTCGCAAGATTCAGCAGGCTTTCGGGGACGATCCTC